CCTCACAGACATACTATGCAGTATAAGAAGGCATGTCTCCGGTGATGAGAAGATTGAAAGAAGCAATGGGAGCTTTTCTGGGAAAGTGGTAGGTATCTTCATTTGGGTTACATAAGTAAGTGTATTTGTGAGAACTCATTGAACTATATAATTAAGAGCTTCATATTTTATTGAATATAAAACATAACTCAATTTAAACAAATAAAATTTACCTACAATGACTGTTCTGCAAAAATGGGAGTATGAGAGATAAATGTAAACAAATTTCTTTGCTGTAGGACCTCTTATTGCCTTTAACATGTTAATGTGCACTTTATTTCTCAAAGCAGGCTGTAAGAAGTATTATGTTCCAGATTTATTTGCTCACAGAGCTTTTTCCCACATATATTAACATCTATAAGGTTTAGAACCAATAATTTTAGCATTGAAAAAAATTAAACAACAGCTATGAATACTACCGCAGCCATTAAAAACAAATAAACATCCAATTTTAAGCAATCACTTTCTGGTGAACACTCCTGAATAAACTACTTGTAAAATTCATCCCAATAAAATGTATATCCCACTCAAGTGCTAGAAGAATTCTGTTCAAAATAGTAAACTCAATTTTTGAGTTGTCAACTTAAAATTCTTCTGGCAGTAATGAGGTAGCAAAGCCAATTGTCAATTCAAGAGTTGCAACTATATGTCAAGGAACTCTATCTCATCACCACATAGACATTTATCTTTCTGTCCTCTACAAGACATCCAACTCATCCAGTGCTGGTGTTGAGGCATTTTAACAAAAATGTTTAAAAAATAAGTCTTAGGTTAAGACAGACTTGCATATAGGAGGATCTAGTGGGGAGTGCTCAGATCAACACCTTTAGAGAAGCAAGGGAAGCAAGACTGAGGAAGAGAGGCAATCACTTAGTTATGATTCACTCGAAGCAGAGGCTGGGCAGATCCTGCGGGGAGCTCTGGTAAAAGGAACACCTTCAAGAGACACCCCACCTTGAGGCCGGAGAGCTAGACCCATTCACATGACAGACTTCAGGGGCGTGCTGGCTGTCTAGGAAAGAGAAACAATCATGCACAAGGGACCTTCTTCAGCTGAAGGTAGTTTTTACAGGGAGAAGTTGCTGAAAGCCGTCACGGGTCATTTCAGAGTGGTGCTTCACATCACAGTGTCGCTGAAACCCTCAGAATCACTAGACCCCCAGGGATGGGGTCCTGACCTGCAAGAAACTGTTCCTACTAAATCTGAGTCTTGCACTACTAATGGATAGGTCCTGCTTAAGAATCAGTAGCCACAAAAAAAGAATCATTAGCCAGAGGTGCATGGTGGCATATGCCTGTAATCACAGCACTCGGGTGGCTGAGGTAGTAGGATGGCCACAAATTTGAAGCCAGCCTGGATACATAGTGAATTCGAGGCTGACCTGAACTACAGAGCAAGATTGTCTCAAAAAGAATTAGTAGCTGAATTGAGCCCATATTGTTTTGTCTGTAACAAATAATCATAAAACTGCAAGAAGAACTGCAAATAATCTTAGATGGTTACTAATAGGTATTTCACTATGTAAATTACATAACAAGATTCCCTGACTAGTTTCACCATGACTAGAAGCCCAACTGTTCATAATGGTCTGAGAAAATTAGATTTCTCCTAGGAGAACAGAAATCTATAACACAAACTTTAACATCAAGAAGATTTAGAGTAACTTCCCAACACTGGAGTTTTTAAATAAAATTACCTTTTGCCCATTTTAATTAAATTAAAATAACATTGCACTGGGCAAAGCAATAAAAAAAATTAGAGTTTGTATGTCTCTCCCTAATTTTCCTTTTTAATATATGTTAGCAATTAAATCAAAACACATCTGTTGAAAACCTTCCATCATGAAAATGGCACCCTGTGTCTGCAAGGTTCTCGCCACTCTTCTCTTTGTGTCCATCTGCCAAAATCCGAGTCAGTTTTGAAGTGCAATTCCAAAGTTATTGCCTGTGTAAATAGGTAATTATAATTATAAATCAGTCACACACTCATTCATTCAGTACTTTTAAGCACCAACCATATGGCCAATCCTGAACAAGAGAGACACAATTCTTGTGTTTGTGGAGCTTGCATGCAATGTGATGAGCCTTAAAATGGAAAGCTGAAGAAGATATCATAGTCTTTGCCTCTTCTGAGGAAAAAGGACCACGAATAAGCTTAATAACAAAAATAATAATAATAGCAACTAACTTTGACTGTGTGGTTGTAATGTGCCAGCACATATGTAAATTTATTCTGCTCTCAAGTCAATCCTCTGAGGTATACTAGTGATATTTCTTACTTATAGACAAGGAAACTAAAACTTAGAGATTAAAGAATTTAAGCAAGTTCATACAAATAGCAAGAGGCAGGCCTGGGATTCTCACAGGCAAAACTTTGGAACTGTACTTCAAAACTGAATAGGATTTTGGCAGATGGACACAAAGAGCCTTGCATACACAGGGGATGACAAGGACAGACATAGAGATGGTCAGAAACATTCAAGTGCAGCCTGTGGAGAGGCTGCTGATGGGGAGAGAAACAAGAGGGCAGGCCTGCAAAGTAGGGACCTGGGTGAAGAGCAAAACAAGAAAGGAATCAGATACCATCCAGGGAGAGGCTAAAGGAACCCAGGCAAGAAGGTAATGCCAATTTTGTATTATCAGTAAGAATATTAACAAGAGCAAAATGGCTAACATGTACTAAACATCCTGTGCACCAGACATGAGCTAAATAAGCAAATTATCTGATTGCAGCTTCTCTGCGACCTCAGGAGGAAGGCACCACCATTGCCTATAAGTACAGGGAGAACACTGACCTTTAGAGGAAGCTTCTGGACTGCTCAAGGTTCTCCCATTTATGAGCTACAGAGCTGGAACTGTGATTCCCAAGCCTGTGCTCTCAGCTGCCTGCTACAGAGTACACACATTTGGTATGCAGGGACAGGAGAATAGTGACAGGGCAGCCCGGGGGAGACTAATGCACCGGCCCAGGAGGCAGATGAAGCAGCCCTCAGCCACAGAACATCTAGCTGTGGGCTGGAGCTGAGGAGCTTTGAGAAATATGTACACAGAGGTAGCACTGGAGACTAAGTGAGATCTGGCAGAGACAAGGGAAGATACTGGATGGTAGCCAACTGTCTGAAGAGCTGGTGACTCTGTGAACAGAAGAATGAGTGGAAATAAGCCCTGATAAAAGTGGGGGGTGGAGAATGACAGAAAAGGCAAAGGTCAAGGTCAGCGAGGATATAAAGGGAGGAATCCAGAGGTCTGGAACTCATGGAAATAATCTGCTATGAGGTTACAGATTTGGCCACAAACATTTCGAAAGCCTGAGAGTGGTTGAAACGTCTAAGAAAGAATGTAAAGAATAAAAGATGATAATAAACAGCAACCTTGAAAAACCCAACTATTCCAGAAAGAATCAGTTTTCTCTTCTGTAAAAATGACACACATCTACATTCCTTAAAAGCCTTCTTAAGAAAGGGGTTCTGCATGTAAGGCAGTGTGACTTAGTGCTGTTTCTGAAAAACCAACTCATCGCCTACCCTGTGTAAAGTTTTGAGTTACTTCTGGGTGGTATATATCTGTTGGAGAAAAAATAAGCTTGCTCTATATATTTAACAATAGGTAGAAATAGTACCAATTGCTTATGAGAGTTATTGCCACTGATTTCCTGGCCACTCGGCCCATGTTGTCAGTGTCAGGAATTCCACTTGGACGTCATACTGTTGGCTGTGGATAGAGGAGCTTTATGCTTCCAGTTCCCAGGACACACTGTTTCCTTCTAGCCTTATTTACACTCTCTGGTCATTCATCTCCCTTCAGTGCAATAAATTATCGCCATGAAGCTTATCTCCCTCATGAGGAATATGCATGAAAGGCTAGTTCTCCCGTTTCTCTTCAAGGCAAAGGAAAACTTCGCAGTGTTAACATGTAGCTAAATAGAAAGAAAGAAAGAAACAAAGAAAAGCCTGTTTGGTCCGCCTCCTGGCTGTTGCCACCTTGCCGGTTATGACACACACAGGGAGGTCTGATGCGCGCGGCAGCCAGAGAGCCGCTCTGTCCCCGTGGTGACTGGGAGCCCTGAGCGCAGACCGCTCTTCCTACTTTCTCGTCTGGTTCTTTTGTGTGACTTTGGGAAGGCTGGTGAATGATTTCTCAGCGTGTGCCTGCTGAGGCGAGCCGCGCGGGGAGGAAGGACCCACGCCGGGCGGTGGCAGAGGAAGCCAACGCGGACCTCACAGGGCTGGAACTGGTTGCACTCTTGCATGCAGTTTTTGAAGTCAGCGAAAACAGCAATCAAATTATCATCTTATTGTGCTTCTGGAAGCTCAGGGAGAGGGGTTTGTGCACTAGCTTAATGACCGTGCGAGATGGGGCGAGTCACAGAATAGCCAAATGTGCCTGCTTCGTGGATCCTGGGGACAAGCGTAAGTTCTTTTGCTACTATATTTTATTGCTGTGTGATTTCCTTTTTGTTTTTCTTTCTGGTTTGAAATCATGCTTGGCCAAAATGAATTCATTTCCATGAGAATTTCTGGGGTGGAAAGTTATCTACTAATCTCCAGGACTTTTTCTTTTTCCTTGTGTTAATTAAGCATCATAATACAAGCTGATATTCCTGACAGCAACTGCCGCGGCACCTCAGACTAAGCCTGACTGAGAACTATTACCTGAAGTGTTCCCAGTAACTAGAGGATTAACACTGGACACATTTTTAATTGACTGCTTTTCTGTCAACCGCATACATCACCAGTGGCTTGGATTGCATGCTGTTTTAACCCTGAAGCTCAATTTCGGTGACCAGCATATCTAACTGAAGGAGATATAGCTAAACAAGATTTCTAGTAGTTATAAAACTTTTCTTCTTTGGCCAAGATCACATTTGTCTTCCTAAATTCTCAGAACTCTGCACCCTCTGTGATAAAAGTTTGTTCTGGCTGCTTTTTTTTTTTTTTTTTTTTTTTTGCTTTGCTGAAAAAAATACCACCCAACAGTGGACTGCACTGAAATTGTAAAGGGAGGAAATACAAAGCAGCATCACAGTTCTTCAACTGTTAATACAATAATGGGAGAGGAAAAGCCAACCAAAGGAGCCCCCTACGTACACCAGCTTCCACACAGTGCAGTGTGGGGACACAGAGATGAATGGTGAATGGAAGCTGTAACTTGTGAGTCTTTCAGCACTTCATCTGTTACAAGGTCCAGCACAGCCATGGATATTCTTTGTGAAGAAAATACTTCTCTGAGCTCAACTCCGAACTCCTTAATGCAGTTAGATGATGACAGAAGGCTCTACAATGCCTTTAACTCAGGAGAAGCGAATATGTCTGATGTATTTAACTGGACAATAAACTCTGAAAATCGAACCAACCTTTCCTGTGAAGGGTGCCTCTCCTCAACATGTTTCTCCTTACTTCATCTCCAGGAAAAAAACTGGTCTGCTTTATTGACAGCTGTAGTGATTATTCTAACCATTGCTGGAAACATACTCGTCATCATGGCAGTGTCCCTAGAGAAAAAGCTGCAGAACGCCACCAACTATTTCCTGATGTCCCTTGCCATAGCTGATATGCTGCTGGGTTTCCTGGTCATGCCTGTGTCCATGTTAACCATCCTCTATGGTGAGTGGCATTCCTTTCCCACTGCGCTCATGCCGCTCCCAGAGCGTGTGCATGCCGTTACCAGAGTCTGGCAAGGGCTTCAACTGTAATAGGAGGCTTTTTTTATAGACTAGAACCCACCGCGTTATGTTACTTACGTTTTAACTCTTAAAATGATGTTTCACTTGAGAAAACCAAAAACCTATTATCTGAGATTATTAGTTTTGAGCTTTAAACCTGGTATGTAGTTAGGCTTATAAAGTTGTATGCTTTAATATACACTTTATGCATAAATGATTATAAATAACTCAATACAGTCATCAAGCAGCAATTTCCCCATCATTCTGAATCGGCTTGATTTTTGCTCCTTTATATTCCCACACCGAAATAGTCAAGCGTTAGGACAGGACAGTTTTACCTTTCTCTCACTTGCCAGCACTTCTAATGGGGTGGTAAAACCTTCTCAATTACCTCGGAGCATTTGCAGAGAGAGCATTAGTGGTGCAGTGGGTTTAATGTTAAAGTATTCAGAGTCTCCATTAGAATAAATAAATTACTCTGGTTTTAATTGTTCGCTGCCCCAGAGAAGCTAATTTAGAAATGTGTCTTTGAATTACACCCTAAACTCTTTACAAATGCACATGCCTGAGCTTTGTCAGTCCGGGTTAGAGGAGGGTGGAAAACGAGTGGAAAGGGATTCGTCTTGCTTTCTTCTCAACAGAGTTTGACACAGTCAAACATCTCAGCAAATGAGCAAACATTGGAAACGCTTCATCAGGGAGCAGAATGAAATACTCTTTCCAAGTTATAAGTAACAGGCAGATTTCTCCCTAATCAGAGAGCGAAAGAGAGACTGTTGAGACTGCTAACTTGGGCATGTCAGCAGCTTAAACAGAGCCTGGAGACAGGTTGATAGCTGTCTTTAATAAAGGATTTTCTGGCCAAGTTTTAGAGGCTTAGAAAAGAAAAAAAGAATTCACCCAGCCCACAAGAAGGTGGAGGAGGAAGTGGGCGAGGCAGAGCGGGCTTCACTCTGCAGAGGTTTGCTAATGCCCATGTAAAGCTAAACCCCCGCTTGACCATTCAAACGCCTCACAGGAATGATTTTTTTAAATGTGCCTGTCATTTCTCAGGAGTTCTAGAGGGGGTTTCCACTTCCTAAAAACTCTGCCCGCAATCAGATGCAAACTCCAGGTGTTGGGGGGTGACCCCGGGAACCGAAAGCGCTGCAGGAGGGCAGGGGGACCCCCGCAGACTGGTGGAGCAGGCCTGGCCGGATTTCAAGGACCACCGGTTGGCACCACCCGCTTGGGTGCAAGCGCGCCCCCTGGTGGCAACTGCTCGCCCAGAAGCCTTTCGCCCCCGCCCTGCCAGATCCTCCGGTCTCCTTCAGCCTGCGGGGTGCCGCCCAGCGGTCTCGTCGAAGGAAACGTCCACTCCTTATCTCCACCGCAGAAAACCGGTTTAAGGTCTGCGGCTGCCTCCTTCCAGAGAAAACCCCTCCAAGAGCCAACATCAGCTCTGAACAGGCTAAGCCGACTTCCCCCCAGGCTCTGCTAAAGAAAACGCATTCCTTTCATCTCAAGCACTTTGCAAACTAAGAGAGTCAAGGGTTCTAAATGAGGGTGGTGTCTGCACCCTTTCCTTTTCTAATTATCCCCAGGGGCACCTTGGTAGTGAGAGTAGTTCACTTGTGGAGTTTGTGAAGCTTTGGAGTCTGTGACATTGTGAAGAAAGAGTGATTTTTACAATATTCCTTTTTATATGCAGGCTCCATTGCTTATACTGCTACCAAAACTGTTTAGCAACTTATAAAACCGTTTGATGTCTTCCAAAATACACAAAAATGACACTTTGCTGATGTCCATAAGGTGTCTTCTCTGTTCCTAACATAGCACGTGAACTGCTTATATATTGGAATAAGTGCTTCTTATATATTGGAATCTTCAGGGAGTTTTAAAACCTATTTTCGTTTGAGACACACCTTCATTGGGCTCTTCAGAATGGTTTATGGGCGGTTTGGCCTGGTCTCTAAAGCTCTCCAGTGGATTCTGTGTGTAGGTCAGAGTGAGAACCACCACCTAAGCCACTCTTCTCCAGGTGTGGTCCATGGGCCAGGTGCAGCATTGCATCTCCATTGTCTTCAGTGTTCCCCACACCCCGAATATGAGATTTACAATCAAAGCATCATTAGGTAGCTATTTTTCATTTTTACAAGTAAAGACATATTCCCAACCTATATTTTAATCATTTAGTCATTTGTACCAATTCCGTTTATTACCATCATTATATGAGACCGGGTGCTTATCACAATGACTACAATGGGACTAACCCTTGGAGCTAAAATCTGTAGGGAAAAACATGTGAATAAATAATGACAGCACAATTTGAGAGGTGCTCCCACAAAGTAGCTCAAAGCACATCATAACTCTAGATCATAAGTCACTTTTTAAATAGTTTGACTGAGTGGTGGGAAGGCAAGAGAACCCCTGAAAAGGGACAATGTGAGTTCATCACATGACAGTAGTGTAATCCCAGACACCAGAAAAACTCAGACCTTGTATTCATCAATCAATACAATAGTTAGAGTTTGTCCTGATGTTGAAAACTTTTTACGTTGCTCTTTGCAGTCACCTGTGGCTGTCCCCACAATGGAGACTTCTGTCCCAGAGCATAATTCACATGCCCTGAGAGGCATGAGGTGGCCTACTGATGCTAAGCTTCTGTGTTCTAGGGTACCGGTGGCCTCTGCCTAGCAAGCTCTGTGCAGTCTGGATTTACCTGGACGTGCTCTTCTCCACGGCCTCCATCATGCACCTCTGTGCCATCTCGCTGGACCGCTATGTTGCCATCCAGAACCCCATCCACCACAGCCGCTTCAACTCCAGAACTAAGGCATTTCTGAAGATCATTGCTGTGTGGACCATATCCGTAGGTAAGCAGGAACATCTATCAGAGTCTCATTTGCAAGGACAGTTCATGCTTTCCCAGACTTGTTCTGTTTTGTTGCACTGAAACCTGACATCCTAAATCTATTGTTTTGTGTGTTGCAAAATATGTCCCAACAACAGCAATTATCAGATTTGTCTTAGGGAAGGAAAATATGTTTATGTCACTGGCTGACAACATACATTTGTATTGCTTTGTGAAAGGTAAGAATAAAAACACCAGTAGAGGCAAAATCAGTGATCACTATACTAATTTCCCTCACTTTTATTTTTCACTCTTCTAAATGCTGGGTGTCCCAGAAACAACTTTTTTGATCACTGGGCTTGGGAGTCAATATTAGGGGACAGATGCTTGTACTAGAGAACATAGGTGTCTGGAGTTTAGAAAGAGGTACCAGGTACCACAATTCAGAATGAAAATGTAGTGACAGGTAGGTGGCACTTGCTCCGGGCCCAGGCACTTCAGCCTGCCTGTGCCTCTGGGCCTCTTTCTTCTATTTTGATGCCACATACCAAAGGATTTCAACCCACCTCAGTCAAGTTGATTCTTGCAGTACTGATCTTCTGTCACACACTTAGCAGTCAGGAAAGCCCAGGTGATGGAAGTTAAGGGGGAAGGTCCCACATAGCAGCTGTACCTGTCACCTTGGCAGGCTTGGTTTTAACCAAAAGTTCCCTGAGACGTTGCAAAGAAAGTTTCTCAGCCAAAAATTCTCTTATATACTTAAGGTCGAGTGAGTATCAGCATATACTTCCATCAGAGACTGTGAAATTTGCTAATAGGATCAAATTCAATAATTTATGTGAGGCTACTCACAGTTTTGTAATAACAATACCAAACAAAAATAACCGACATAGCCAACTTGTGTTCAATCTCCATTGCTTCCTTTCCTGCTGACAATCAGCAGAGTGGGTTTTACCATATTATAGATGAAGAAATTGGGATCTTAAAAAGGTAAAACGTGGTGTGCAAGCCCCACATCTCGTCACCTGGGCTGTGAGAATTTTCTAATTATGAGCAGAGCAAAAAATAGTAATACTTAGTAATATTATTCCAAATTTTTTAGAAGTCTTAACTGTTTTCCACTTTGAACTTCATATTATGGTTTGAGGTAGAGAGAACAGAAGATTCTATTGTGCTTGTTTGATCTGTTTGGGAATCTAAGGATACAGGTCTCATGGTTGCTGGGTCACACCTCCAACTTGAATCAGGGCTAGAACTGTAGGTTTCTGGCTCCAAGCCCTGCCCTTTCTGCTGAATTTGTTGCCTGCTTTAGGAAACTATTTTTTGGCACAGTACTGGGACTTAAACCCCAGTACTCTTTTTTATCCTTTTTATTTTGCTATAGGGTCTTCCTAAATTATGTAAGTTAGGCTCCTGCCTCAGCCTCCCAGTGTGCTGAAATTACAGGTGTGTACCACCATACCTGGCCAAAAATAGGGGTGTTTTTCTCTCCAAGAAAATGCTTGTGGTCTTGGAAACAAGAGAGTAGGAGGCCAGCAATTCTCAGTCCCAGCTGCACATCAGCCCCCTGGAGAACATTCTAATTGGCTCAGTGTGGGGCCAAGTGATTGTAAGGCATAGCCAGGGTTGAGGACCACTGAGACAGACTGTCAGAGAGAGAGAGATAGTGGTCAAAGAGGGTCACATATATTGCAAATGAAGCAGCGAAGTTCTCAATTAAGATACTCTACTTTTACCCCAGTAGTCTATCCCATTGATGAGATAGGAACCGGGAGAGTCAAGCATCTTTCACACTCAGCCATACCAAGTCACCTACCTTAGTCAAGCTTCATAATAGTACCATTAGTAAAAGCTGGCAGTTTCTGAACATTGAGTACAGACCCAGTAGTGTCCAAAACATGGAACTGAAAATTAACTGCAGAGAAGTAAATCACAGAGGATGACACCACTTGCAAACAGGAGTCAATCCAGGTTAGTCTGACTCCAAAGCTCATGTATGAGATATTACCCCATAAGGCAGTCTACCTCTGGGTCTTTCTGGGTCTTTCTGGCAGACCAAATGTTGTGGCAGTGCTGGCCAACGGTCATCATTCATCTATTTGGCAAAAAAAATATCTGTTACATCCTTGGCACTGGATGTACTAAAGCTTTCCTTTGTTAAAGTAAATCTGATGAATAAGATATGCATTCAAAGATCTTCCACATGGTGTTATGGAAAAGCAGTTGTGGAAAGGTAAAAAAAACTTACATAGCCTTTATACTAGATCTCTGTGAGTTGTATAGCTGAGGAAGTAGCGGGTGGGAAAAGGAAAGCCAGTTCTACTGAGAGCCCTAAAGAGGCTCAGCACAAATGTTTTCCCAAGTTTTCTTCTAGTGGTTTTGTTTCCCTCTTTCTCTGAACATAAGACCTAACTAGAAAATGATCAGCCTTGAAAACTAGAGATCAAAAATGCCAGCCCCAATTAGCCTAGCCTTACTTTGCCTGCCATCACTATTCTCTTGCTCAATAGCTATTCTGTAAGATAGGTAAGGGTGAGTGGGGCTGGAATTTTTAGTCTCTAGTTTTCAGGGCTGATTATTTTCCAGCTAGGTCTTATTTGGGGGGAAACAGTGTTTGTGGTTTGGGGTTTTGTTTTTTGGCTTGTTTGTTCTGTGGGTATATATTTTCAATTTCTATCTTTAAGCCATCTGTACTTTAAGAAAATTTTCCAGTTTTACTGAAGTATAATTGACCAGTAAAATTGTTTGATTTTTAAGGTGTACAATGGACACTTTGATATACATATATGTGTGAGATGATTATCACAACCTAATTAGTTAATTCCCCCATCATCTCATTCAGTTACCTATTGCCTTTTTGTGAGAATATTAAAACAAATTACAAGAATACAATCTATTTTCGTTAACTACAGTCACCATGCTGTGCACTAGATCCTCTGCACTTACTGATATTACGTGACTGAAAGTTTATATCTTTGACCCACAGCTCCCTTTGCCTTCCACCATCCTGTCCCAGGTAACTGCCGTGCTGTGCTTCAGCTGGTCAACTCGACATAAAGTGAAATCATTTTACTTAGCACAGTGCCTTCGAGTTCACCCACATTATCACAAATGGCAGAATTTGCTGATTTTTTATAGCTGCATTATATGGAACTTATAGTTGTATAGGAGCTAATTATTATTAATTACCAACAATTGAAGCACTTTCAGAATCTATTAATATAATCAACTTTTCCCCTTCAGTTTATTAATATACTTACTTTACTTGATAAACTTCTGAGTATTGATTTTAATCATTAAATGTCCCCCCTTATATTTAGTGATGTTTTTACTTTAAAAATCAGCCCAACTGATATTAGTATAGCTATGTCAGATTTTTTTTATCACTTTCTTGGGTATATCTTATTCCATCCTATTACTTTCAGATCTGTGACTTTATATTTAGAATGTGTGTTACATCAGAAATATATAGAGTTGCATTTCGTTTTCACCTAATCTTTACCTTTTAATTGGAATATTTATTTTATATCCAATATAAATCAGATATATTTGGACCTGAACCAGCTCTCTCACAATTCTGTTTTCTCATTTGTTCTATATTCCAATTTCGTGCCATTCTTGCTTTCATTTGGACTAATTAAGAATTGTTAATTCGTCATTCCCTCATTTAAGCTTGTTAATTATCCATTCTTTTGCATTTTTTCTGTGATTATAATGTAACCTTTTGATCTCAAATAATCTAAAACAATTCATGTAAACTTCTTGCAAATGTGAAAAATTTAGAACATTTTAATTCCACATTTATCCTTCTTTTGTGTTATTTTTCCTATTTTCTGTGTGTATGTTTACAGAACCCATAAGATATCATTATTTAGATGTTCTATTCATTTTGCATGCATTTATTTCCACAGTGTTCCTTTCTATTTCTATTTATTGCTTTTTTATTTCCATGATTTCACCGAGCTTCCCATTGCCTACTCCTGAAAAATTTCCTTTATAAAATCATGTTTTGTGTAGTTTTTGTTACCTAGATCTTTATTTTGCCTTGACTTAAAATAGTTTTGCTCATTGTAGAAGTCAACACTGGTAGTGTTTTTTTCAGCATGTTATAGGTGGCAATGCAGAGTTTCTGGATTAAGTAGCATTGTTTCTTTGACTGTGAGAACTAGGCTGTCGGTGTTATTGCTCCTTACAAACCACCACTCCTTGCCACACCTTGCTGCATTCCAAATTCTTTGTCTTTGTATTTCAGCATTTTTACTATGAAATGCCTAGATGTGGGTTACCTTTGTTTTTATTTTATATGGGGCTTGTACCAATCTTAAATTTGTGCCACAGTGTCTTTTTCACCTTGGGAAATCTCTTGCTCATTGTTTTCAATATTAATTCCCTCAATTTTTACCCTCAATTCTGGGACTCAACTCATGTATAATGAACATTTTATCCATGTTTTTATAATTCAAGCAGAGTTCTACATTTTTAACCTTTTCCCTTCTCTTCTTGCTTTAGTCTGGATAATTTTATGGATATTTCTTCTTCTGTATTATTAAATCTTCTCATCAGCTACTCCCACTCTGTTCCTAAACCTATCGATTTTGTTCATGTCATTCATCTTTTCCCCCCCATTTTTATATGAATACGAATGTGTAAATGTCTTTTCCTTCTCTTTACAACATCCCACTTAGTTTGAATTTCTACTGGACTTTTCCATTCCTCTTCTCATTAAGGTTTAATCAAATAATTATTATATTGGTATTTCTATTACTATATCTTAAACAATAATCTTACTAAATTATTTTCTCATCCTATCTGTGCCCCAGTTCACAGATTTGTTTCATAAACTTTGGATGTAGATCTTTCACAACAAGTCAAAAAGTGCAGAAGCTATAAAGGAAAATATAGACATAGGCAGTTAAATGAAAAGCAGTTATGAAATGCAAAGAGCATCTGCATTTTGACCACTAATCCAATAGAGAAACCAAATATACAGGCCATTCACAGAAATAAAACTTAAAATAGACA